TGGCTGGTGCCTCAGGAGCATATGCCATGTAAGGCCCTGTCCCAGCCAAGCTGGAAGGACCTTAGAGTCAAGCAACAGTGGCATAACAGGAGTCTGAGTGAAACACCTGACCCCAGAGCTCTTCCTTCCCAGCAACCTGTGCCCCATCCCTGTGTAGAAGTCAGGTCCAGGTGTAGCTGCCTTCCTGTCCACCCACACCTGCCTACATGTCTCCTCCGCAGGTAGTCAGGGTAACCTGTGGACACGGATGGTCGTCTTGTTGTATCGGGCTTGCACTGTTTGTGAAACACTTTCATACTTGTGTGGTTTGTCTTTGTTTTCTTTGGTTCAGTCTTGCATGCACTGTAGGTTTTGGTTACTTGTTTGGGTTCCCAAAGCCTCCTTCCTAATCACTGTATGAATGGCGTGGGCACAGCTAAGAGGCTATATTCTATCTGGACTTAGGGTTTCCCATTGTTCTGCTGTGGGCTAGAATCAGCTGAGATTCCAACCAGATCTAAAGGATTAAAGCAGCCTTACATATTGCCATTCACCTGAAGCTAATGATGCAAAATGGGGATGGCTGTATTTTGTCCTGGGTGTCATTGTAAGCGGGTTGGAAAGGCTACACATAAAACCTCTGGTGACACTTCTAGATTAGCTGAGCATAACCAGGGCTCCATCTTCTAGTCCTCTTGCTTCTTTGTTCCAGTACCATCTGCCAGCATGACCCGGCTCGCCCGATCACGAACACACTCAACCTCAAGTAGCATCGGCTCTGGAGAAAGTCCTTTTAGCCGGTCTGTCACCAGCAATCAGTCAGATGGAACTCAAGAATCCTGTGAGTCCCCTGATGTCCTGGAAAGACCCCAGACCATGGAGGTGTCCTGCTAAGCAGATGCTCCTTCCCTGGACCATGCAAGTCCATCCTTCTTCAAATGACTACTCCGTAATATAACATTTCATCCGGTAAACCGGCCTCTGCTATCTTTAACTCATGCATGGCCACTGAAACTCTCTAGTAGCCTGGATTTATCATTCTTTCTCCCTGCCCACCCCCTGTTTTGTATATACCAAGAATCACTTCCATGCCACTACTGTAACATTCCGACATCCTTAGCTGATCCAGTCTCCGTATCTTCTCTCGCCAGCTTTTTCCTATGCTCCCCAACCATGTATCAGATAAGCTTCTTTGATCCCAACTCTGTGTGTGTGCAAGCACGCGTGTCTGTGTGTGTGTGCATAGTTCTGTGATTTTAGACATGCTTTCTTGCAGCGCTAATGCAAAACAAAAAAGGGACTTTTTTGCATCATCAATGATGTTTTTAAGGGAAATATGCAGAACAGATTTCTAGGTTGGGTAGGCCACTGCATTCTCTTTTGGTTCCAAATTGGTCAATGTGATTTGCAAAGTGACTTCAGGAGAGAGCAGTTCTGAGGAATGTGGAAGATCATAATGACTGTGAGGACCGTTGACTGATTGTGACCAACAGGAAAAGGTGCCTGTTCATAAGGAGGCGGACATGGTGGCCATCCACCCGCCCTGTCCAGATAAATTC